CTCACACTGTGTGTCTTCTGTCTCTGTGCCTTGGACTTTGAGGAAAACTTACTTTAGCCTCAGAGAGAGGGACAGTATTGGTAATAGGAAAGAAAGTTCTCCACCTATTGAATGAATGATGCAGTCCACTCTTCTTTTAACAACTGTACTGCTCTATCTGTAGACTTGTAGTTTGCCTGAAATCCACTTATTTCTCTGATCTAGCATGCCATTCTCTCCTCTTCTGCCTTCTTCCTTCTTGGGCTCCTCCCATTTTCCCTCTGCCCTTTGTCATAAGCTTTGCCTTCCCCTTGTCCCACCATGGATTTTTTGCTGGAGACTGTACAGAGTGTTGACTTGTGGGGAATAACAAGGCTGGTCTAAACAGATTGAGTCTGCCATTAGATACCAGGGATCTGAGTGCCTCTGTCGTGCTCCAGTGTTCCCTTTTCCATTCAGATAAATGAGAATCTGCTCATCAGAGCATTACTGGAGAGGTGGGTTGATTTGTGGAGGCCTCTAGAATCTATTGCAAATGGGTCTGACAAGCTTTGAACAAAACATCTTCAAGCTAAACATTCGGCCTTACTTTCCTCTATATGTAAAGGTAGTGTTTATTTCACAAGGACCAATATGATTACTTGCAGATGTGATTTAAAAGTGATCCAAGAGGTGAAGACTATGTCAGGTGTTGCCAACACCCTTACAGTTCTGTCTATACAAATACACAGTAAAGTCAAATGATGGTAAACTAAAAATTTTGTTCCATAGGAAATTTAAATATTTCAGTAGCAAAAATGAAAAGTATATCAAATGGAGGTGGAAGAAGGAGAAGAAATTTTCCTTTATAATGATGGTGTTAAATTTTTCTTAGAAAAAGATCAAAATTATATTCTCATGATGGCAGTTTTCAGTAATTTCCAATGTTTCTGAAATTGTAGCTGTCCGAATAGAAACCATCTAGGTTCTATTCAATAACAGTTTATCTGGTGAACTGCCAGGGGACCTTGAATGCTTTTGATCTGCAACTGAGGTAGGTATTTTGGTGTGCTATGCCAGAACCAGGAAAGTTGTCAGCTTCCTATTTCTTCATTTAAAAAAAAAAAAAAAAAAAAAAAAAGTTGAAACGGATTCTCATCAAAAGGGGAAGGAAAAAGATATTTCACCTTTCACAAGCTGTTTTAATGGGTGTACTAGTTTTTTGTCTAGCATGCATCTATATACAGATGGAAAGGTCCAACATCACTGATACAGCAGTGTTTTACCCTGTGGGTTTCTGCTTCTTACATTCATTGATATATCTGTGGAATTCCAAAGGCAGAGGGAAGCCACAAAAAGGTCACAAAACTGCAAGCCAAGGTAAACAACCTGTCAGAATATGTTTAGCAAAAGGCAGTGTAAACCACAGAAAAAATATAGAAAGGAGAGAAAAACCTACTCCCTTAGAAAATACATTTCCTGGTTGGAAAGGCATTGAAGTTGAGAGTCGCTTCTGCTGCTTCCTTGCTCTTTTCCAATAACTTGTTTTTGTTCAGATTGCTGCTTCAGTCCACGGTCCCAGGCACCTAGGCCATAGGGAAGAGGAATACATGTTCTGCAGCAGGTATAAGGGAAGGCATTGTGGGCATCATGACTAAAGGTAATAGTGTCTCCCATCCCAGGAAAGGAGACTGGACAACCTCTTTGTTACTTAGTAATATTTGAATAACGCCTTGAACACAGACACAACACCAGAGCATTTCTTTAGTCACAGTCAAAGAGGGTTGTGTTTTCTCCTTTCTACACGGCACAGAAAATAAAGATTCTTTGTTTAGTTCAACGTCCATTTTAACATTTTTTACTGCATTGCAGTTGGAAAATAGCTTCTCAGTTCTTGGTTATTTATCCTAGTTTTCTTGTGTTTCAAGTACAAGCTTCTCTTGATGGGGAAATCATTTCAGATGGCTATGCCATTGTCCCTGCTGCTCTTTAGCCCTGTGACGTGAAGCTGCAGAATCATGTAGCACAATCTTGTAAATGCATCTGAACCACTTTGTTTTGTTAATTTGCACAGCAAGTTCAGACTTCAGTCCAGATGTGCAATGCAAGGAATTTTATTTGCACAGAAGATTCTTTTGGCAGGCTCTTGGAGCACATTTAGGTTAGATAATTAACAGGAATAAAGTTACTGGCTAAAAATGTCATTATGTACAGGAAACATGTGAGGGAATTTTCTGTTGATGTAGACAGAATTTCTAAGGATTCCACTTGCTGATGGTGAAATATCTATATTGTGCAGGGAGCTCCACCTACATCTGTGTTCAACAGTAAGAGACCGATACTTATATCTCTTATATTTGCTTATGAAAACAGAAATTGTTTTCTACAGCACCATACTTGTTTGTTGAACATGAAAGAACAGAAATCCTCTACAGGTCCTGAGGGAGACATTGCAGAAAGGGAATAATCATTATAAACCATGCCGTATGTACTGTACCGTGTTGCCATAAGAAAGCTGTATTTGATTGGCTTATAAAATAGGTTTTAGTAAATCCCTTAAATAGTAATGTTGGTAACTGTGCACAGTGCAGTGCAGCGCTAGTGAGTGCTATGTAATGATTAGAGTGTTTCCAGATTGATCACGTAGAAACAAGGGGATTTCTGATGATCAGGATGGTGTTGGGGCAGGGCAAGGATGATTGAGAAACCTCTCAATCAAGGTAACACTGATAACACACAGAAAAATCAGAAATTATTTTGATTACAAATGACAGCTTGTTTACAAATACCATGTACAAAGATCAAGGAGAAAATAACTGAATCTAGAAGAAACACCCCAACAAATGGAATTATCTGAATTTGCCGTGTACATGAGAAAGCTGAATTTTATTTGGGGTTTTCAGGTATTTATTTTCCTTCATTTTACCTCTCAACTAATTGAACTGATTAGTATTTATTTTAAGGATCTAGGATTTAAATTAGGGCATTTCACTTTCTTTTTTACTTTAGGGGTACCAGGAGACCAAAGGGTGCAACAGACTCTGCATGTTATATAGAAGCCCTAACACCTGTACTATGCCTCACCCCTCAGATATCTCAAGCCTAAGCCAATAAATGTCATGATTAACTTATTCACTCCTTACAAACCAGAAAATTAGATAATTATTTCATATTCCTAACTAAAATAAATAAAAAAAAAGGGTTATCTTTAGAAACTTCATAAGCTGTCTTAAAAAAAAAAATAAATTTCAGTGCTCAAAATCAATTTGATAAATATGTTGAGCCCTGAAGTCTTAGTACAATTAATGTACCCATTGCCTTTGTAGTAAGTTGTATACCTGATCACAAAGTAAAAACACTGATGGATCAGTTAAAGGAATTAGTGTTTGGGGGAAAAAAAAGATGGTGATAAAGTAATTAGTATCATAAGTTCAACAAAGATTTAAACCTGTGGTACATGGCAGTAATGGATTTTGAACACGGTTAATGAGCATATTCATTGCATTCATTTTTAATTAAGTGGAAAATATACTGGTCCTTTAAATGGAGATAATAAATGTGCAAGTCAGTCTTGCACAAACATGCAACACAAGAATTTATTGCCTGCTGTCTAACTAGGGAACTGGGAATCATTATAAAGATTAGCTTTACTGAAAAAAAAAAAATCCAGAAAAAGCTTTAATAGAGAATGTTTATGAGGTAATAATTTTCACATTAAATATTGCTCGGCATGTTTGCTAGAGTGCGTGTGCATGTTTTTTTAAAATATGAGTATTTGCTATCATCAGAGGTAGGGCTGTGTGTGCCCTTGAACAGGATTCAATGCTATTTACCAATTTAGTGACATGAGGCATATTTAGTATGTGACTACACATGTAAGAGAAGATAAAAATATCAGAACCGGTGAAACTTTCTCAGAGGTGTGTTATGCTTGTGCTTAGAATACAAGCTGTGGTCTAAAAGTAAAACGATGACCCAGAAGGGTGCAGCTGTGAACTTCCAGGTGCTTGCCGTGCTTTAACCGACGCGCTCCCGCCTTCCCCGGGCACCGACCAGGCCACGCTGCTGCTGGGGCTCCGAGGGTTTCAGGCTGCAGCGGGGGAAATCCTGCTGAAATACTTGGTGTTTATTCTGTCAGTGGGCAGCCAGAGAACTGACATGAAACAGGTTAAAACACTGAAACCAGACATACCTTCTAGAGCAGTGGCTTTCAGTGTTTTTATGACTTGGGAACCCCCTAAACATTTCCAGTGGAAGCAAGGACCTTTGTGTGGCGTGTTGAAGCTTATTGATGACAGTTGACTGGCATTTCATGGTTACCTTTGATGGATCTATTTGAAGCTGTTCACAGATCCCCAGGGACGCCCAGGCCACATGTTAAAAACCGGTGAAGCTAAATCAAACTTAAGATGTTTCATTCTCTCACAGCTCCCAAGCCGTCTCTCTCTCATCCATAGTACCAAAATAACAGGTTCTTTCTGACACGCAGTACGCCTAGGTCTTTGCTCAACAAATGTCTCATCGGGATACGCATAAACCCCAAATGTGCACCCATGTTTCCCTAAGTCACCAGAACCTTCAGGAGCTTATTCACCACTGGTATTATGAGAGGGCAAGTTTTCCATACCAAAAAGCCCCTGAACTTTCACTGGTGACATGCAGTTTACTGCTAGTGATATTGCAGTACAAATTACTGTGCCATGCTTAGGCAATTTGAATCTTTTTTTTCTCTGACTTTATTTTGCCCTATCCCATATGTTGCAATTGCTTTCCATAAAAGGAGCAAACAAAACCATACTCCTGGGTCCTTTCAAAATGCTAAGTCTGCTTTTATTTTTTTAACCTCACTGCATGATTTTATAATGTATTTAAGTCAGTAGCAACTTGGAAGCTAAATTTAAAATAGCTGTCTTTGGTAGCATACATTCAGCGTTTTAAAAAAGAAAAAAAATAGCAAACTACAGAGTCAGTTTATTGATTAAAGCAGGAAGTTTACAGAAATGTTATCAGTAAATAAACATTTGATTTTCTTTTCTGTTCAGGTATGACTTTGTAGAAGTTGAAGAGCCTAGTGATGGCACTGTTTTAGGGCGCTGGTGTGGTTCCAGTAGTGTGCCAGGCAGACAAATCTCCAAAGGAAACCAGATCAGAATAAGATTTGTGTCTGATGAATATTTTCCTTCTGAACCTGGATTCTGCATCCATTATACACTTCTTATGCCAGTAAGTAACATGTTTCAGATTGGAACATTTCAGGAAAACAAAATCTTTGAAGTGGTAGCTCAAAATAATCTTTTAATAGTTTAGGATTAATTACTGTTTATTTCCTAATATTATAATAATAATAATAATGAGCAATCTGTCTTCCAGAATTGTACATTTTGTTTCTGTTTTTTTAACTTACTGAGTGTTCTTGTGGTTCTCTTTGGAAGGTTTTGGACTGGGAAGTTGTGGGCTCAGTTGTTTGTGTGGAAACTTCAATAAAATGTTTGCATTCCTAATACAGTACTGTGGAAAATTTTGGGTTTTTTCTAGCTTCAAGAAAAAGAAAAATCAGCTTAAAAATCAGCTGTGTGACATTGAAAGAGCATTGGGAAATTACAAAGATTGAAGACATTAATGTTTTTATTAGTCAGCTGCTATTAGACATACACAGCCAAACAATTATACCTATTTCAAAACCAGAAATGTTCTTATGCTTCTGGATTTTTTTATTATAGTGATAAATCAGACAATGCCTAGTACTCATTTTCCACTGCATTTTCCGTGGAAAAACTCTACTTCAGACTTCTCCTGAGGGTTGCTTACTGTTTGTAAATTGCAGGTATTAAACAGTAGTCATTGTCTAAAATGTGACTGTTTTTACAGTCAACATGTTTCTATTACCTTTTTTTCACCAAATGAATGATCTGTAATAGCAAAACAATGTTTGTAGATTTTTATTTTTTTTTTTTTAAGGATGAGATATTGTTCTGAACCATTAGAGTGGAGAAGAACTTGTTTTAGAATAAGTATTCCATATTTAAAGAGAGTAAGGAGTATTTTTGTTAAATTCCTCATAATTCATTTTGTGAATCTTCTAAGTAGTTTTGTGGTCTGTGGTACTTGGTTGGTGGAAAGTATCTGCAAGCTCAATAAAAAATTAATCAAAAGAATCCATGTTGTAACCCCACTGACATGCACTTCATTCAAAATGCATTTGGTTTGCTTACTGCTTTTGCCATTTTTACCTCTCCTCCCCATTTGCAAAACTTCAGTTACTGAGAAGCACCAAAGAACAATTCCGCGAATCTTTTCAACAATACATCATCTTCTGCATAATACATTTAGCGTACTGATGATGTCAGTGAAATGTAGTGTTGTGTGTGTGTGTGTGTGTGTACATATATATGTGTGTGTGTATGTTTTTTTTCTGTAGTTTTCCTGTAAGCATCTTTAAATATTTAGACCTAATTAAGAACTACTTCTAAAGCAATTAAATGTTTGATCTGCATATTTGACTCTTTGTGAGTTAGACCCTTTTGTTAGTACAATAGTATGAGCTGATAATGATGAATTTTGAAATTAAATAAAATGTCAGTCAGTCTCCAAACCAACTTGAAATATGGCCAGGTTTAAACTTTCGTACACCCGAAGGCAGAGTGTAACAAGTAAGTTTACATTTAGAAAATGCTAAAAGAAAATCCCTAAATAGATATATTTGTGGGCTGATGCCAAATTTCATTGTTGCAGCTCTAGTATTACATCCTACCTGCTACATATCTATCTGACATATGTATGATCCAATTTCTGTGGAATGGATTGAACAAAGGCACCTAAAAATACCAGAGTGTATGTATAATTATCTTTATGCCATGCTGTACAAAGAGACTGAGTTTATTCCGTGACATTTGATGGGGAAAATTGTTATAACATTTAAGTTATCAGCACTTGCAAAACAATTCTTTAATCTTCAAAATATTTACATCCCTTATTCAATAGACAAAATCAGAGCTGACATCGTAGGATGCATTTTCACTTCCCCGTTTTTCTCTGTGAACAAAGCTCATATAGCATAAGTATACATACAAAATGTTTTAGAAACTAGATGTGTTATCTCTCACATATGTAACAAGCAAGAGCAGCCCCCTTCATGTCACAGGAATTCAGAACTAGCTCCAAAATGTGCAGTATAACAACTGCTTATCAGTTTGTGAGGATTCATTTCCAAACCTCTCTTTAAAAGGGCTGTGATCTTTTTCATCAAAAATGATGTCTTAAGCCACACAAAATACAATTTCCCATTTCAGACTGCAGATTGTAAATGAAACCTGTATTGCTGAGTTTCAGGATTAGACCTGCTTCTTGTACCTAAAGCAATTGAAAACTGATGCCAAAAAAATGTGGGTTTCTTTAAAACTATAACGCTATTTCAGACAATATTTCAAGAGGAACTAAAATTTACAGCCTCCCTTCCCACCTCCCCGCAAAAAAGGTGTCAGCTATAGGAATGGGTGTAAATTTTAAATAATTCTTGCAGAAACATAACTGATTCACTTAGTGATTCATTTCAATGAATTGGTCCTAAACAGTTAATTTTTTTTTTTTCCTCATTTTTTGAGAAGAGGGGGGAGGGGGAGATGCCTCCTAGACTAGCAATGAGAGATTGTTTGGGGAGAAATGAAGCAAAACTGAAATAAAACAGTGCAAGCTTGTTTCTGTATTTGGAGGCCACACACAGAGAGGGGCACTGGACACATTTTCAGGTCTTTTAAAGAGCAAGAGAAATGGCTTTGTTTAAATCTGCTGTAATTTATCGTATATATTTTTTTTACTTTGTATATTATATTTCAAACCATCTTTTTACATGATGAATAAATAGAGGGAGAATGGCTATTGTGATCCGATTACTTTGCTTCTAAGATTTAGTCTCTCAAAAGGACTCTCAGCAGTTCTAATGCCAATAGATGCAACTTAATTTTCTAGAAAGGTTTACTGGGGGATTGTAAGGCACCGCTTAAAAGCAGTGCACATACTGCATACAAGCAGAATGCTCCCTGAGAAAAACATTAAGGTTTTCATCAGATTCTAGCTAATCACAGTTTAATAATTTTAATTTCTTCCATTTTATATTATGCACCCTAGAAACATCTAGAACTTTCTGTAATTCTGGCCTAACTCCACTTGCCTTTCCTTTGTTCTGTAGTTGCGAGTTAATTCTGTCTGGAATACCATAAAGTAGAAGTAAGTGTTGAAAAAGCTTAGTCTTACTAAGAAAATGTAGTTTGTGTTATTTCAAAATTATTATGCTACTTTCAGCGCAGCTGTTATTCTTAGTCACTCTTTTCATGCTCTACCCTGTCACTTATCTGTGCTTACTGGTGAGCTGCTTTATTCACTACGGGCTGCTTAGCGGTTGTTCTGCATTTTGACTATTCAGCTATGCATTTATTAAAAGTCCTGGTTTTGGCAGCACTATACCACCTAAACCCTCCTAGAACTTTATTGCAAAAACAATCCATATTTCATTTCTTTTCCCCTTCTTCTCACTTGCCCCCAGTTACAGCTCTAATCCGCGTAGTAGCCACATGCAATTGAGGGAAACCTTATAAATGCTTATAATATATGTTTGGGCTTCAGTCTTCCTAGTGACTTGTTTAGTTTAAATTATGTCAGTTACAAGTTTGGCAGAGAAAACTTGATGTAATAAAGTCCATTGTTACTTGGGGAGCGGGTGAATGGGATACTTGATGCCTGAGGTGCCATTAAGGAATGCATGACTGATTGCCAAAGTAGTTATTAATTATTCAGGGCACTCAGAACAAAGCAGCTCCAGTTAAAGTTGAAGCTGGGGGTGACTGTATTCCCCCTTTTTTTTTTGGCATATGGTAGCATGTCATTTGTCATCAAAGATCATGCCAAAGATCTCTGCGAAGAGCAGAGTTAACCCTCTTCTATGCAAGTGAGGATGAAGAGGAAAATCCAAGAAGCGGCTTAAAAACTGATCTCGTTTAAGTGACATGGCAGGTGTTTTGTGATTTTGGTGCAGTACCTGTATGGCTACCTGGAGTTCAATCCAAGAGATATTTTTTTTTCTTTTGATGCAGAGATGCTGTTAGTAGTGCTCTTGCTATTAACAGTAATGAAGATTGAATTTAATACCGTGCAGATAACCTGTTTAGGGTGTTCCAATAATTGTTACTTTATTTCATCCAAATTGACCAAGCTTTGCTCTTTTAGGGTTGAGCATGTTAATTTTGTTTGTGGAACCTTTTTAATTGAGCTTTTTTAATGAAAAAGGCAGATAAAATTCAAATACTAATAGGAAAAAGTGTGTACTAATGGAAGAGAAAGGAAAACTCTTACCTAATATTGCCTTCCTTTCAAAACTGCACAGATTTCACAGATATCAGGTGCGTATCTCGCATGTCAGTACCAAAGCCCGAGAGGCTTAACTTTGGCTGCAATAACTAAAAATCCATCCAGAAACATCATAAAGGACATTATTGATCTCCTAAACAAAGGTTTTTCTACGGTCTATTAAGAAGAAATCAAAAGATTTTGGAAATAACACAATTTCAGGGTTGTTTAAGCCAAGGTAGTATGAAGCAGTAGGAGAGTGTATGACTGTTATTTAGTGCTTTGCAATGCAACATGAAGTGAAAAAGGACTCTGAAAATCTTTCATGTGATGGGAAGGACTCTTAAATGAAACCTCTGTGTTCAGAGTTTCCACTGATTAGCCTGGATAAATCAACAAACTGCTAAAGATGCTACAGTGTGCAAATTAAGTCATTCAGTATTTTTTTGTGTGGCAAAAAGTTGTTGTAAATCAGAGAGGGGTTTGGACTAATTCTTTCCTTCAAGAATTCATTTTGCATTAAATTTGTGCTTGAGGTCTAAAGAAAAATTCCTTCAAAATTTCTTAAATGAGACATTAAAGATCATCCCAAAATACATAGCTAGGAGTGACGTGTTTCAGGTTAATCAAAAAACTACAAAAAGTACAAAACTGAGGATGGCTGTTATCCATGGGACTACAATAAGAGTGGCAAAAAAAAATAATAAATCCTTTGAAGCAGAGAGAACCTCTGAAGGATGTTTCCTAATCAAATCATAACATCTTGTTTTCCTGTGACCATATCTCATTCTATCACACAGACACCATAAAAAGTTCAAAAATTCTGTATATGAGAAGCAGACGTGCAAAGAGACAGGGTTAGAAATGAATCTAGCAAAGTTGTT